TTTAAAATAAAACTATTAATCGTTATTTGACAATCCTTTAAGAACCAAATTTTTTTGTCTCGGTCCCTTCTCATTATTCGCAGCTAGCCAAATGTAACAACTTAGCTGTCGAAAAATCTTTTGAATCTAATTTTCAAACAAACGAATCTTCTCCCACACGCTTTGCCAAAATGTTTTTTAAAAGCTCTTATAACTTATCAGCCGCAAGCGGTTTCAAACCAATCCAAGTCTGCTGCCAAAAATCGATTATGTTGTCATCTCCGACATGTTCACAAATGGACTCATTAAACCAGTTAACATTCGAATGGAACGCTATTTCTATAGGTCTTGTGTCTTTCCACCACAATGATTGATTTCGCATCACCGCATTAGCACCACAAGAATTATTCGAATTGAATGCTATTCCTATAGGTCTTATGTCTTTCCACCACAACGATTGATTTCGCATCACCGCATTAGCACCACAAGAATTAGAAAGTATATTGTAATCCACACCTTGCCTTTAACAACCCGGACCATAGATTATCTTAACCAAAATCCGCTATAATCATTTATTGAGCAGTGCAATGTTAAACCTCCCGACATGTTTGACCCCGAGTCCTCCATCATTTTTAGGCTTACAAATATCATCTCATCTTTTCCAACAAACATTCTTAACTTCATCAACCTCACCCCAAAGAAATCTCCTTTAAATAGTTATTAATTCTTGCACAACTACTTTAAGGGCCTTGAAAAAAGAAAAAAAGTAAATCAGGATATTAGCCAAAACTATATTCAACATTGTAACTCTTTCGTACAAAGATAGAAAGACTTGTTATGCCACTCCGAAAGCCTCCGCCACACCTTATAAATATTGGGGTTCCTTGTAATTCTTACGATGATTATCCCCAAGCGAAAGGTCCAAGAACAAAAACGAAATGGTTCCAACCTTGCACGCAAGGAAGGAAGAAGCAGCCTGTAAAAATTCAAAAGTGATATTCACACTTAATACCCAACTTTTATTTAGATTGAGGCTTAGACTAAAATCCAATTGAAAACCTCAAATATAAATTTCAAACTCCATAAATTTTCCCACTTTCCATCGCATAGCACCACTATGTCGTCTGCAAATTGCAACAACTCAAAGTGAATCGAATCACCCACCTTGACACCACTAAACTGGCCCAAAGTCCTCCTTGGCGAATCCCTCTACGAACCACAAAGTTCTCCGTCGGGCTACCATTCACAAGTATCAACATAATGTTGTTGAAGATCAAGTCGTTCATCCAAAGTAACTACCTTTACCAAACCCCAGTTTCCCTAAAATGTTTCTTAAATACTCCCATGATATATAATCATATGCCTTCGCAGAATCGACCTTCATAATTAAAACACTTCTCCTTTTTACACTTCGCAAAATCTAACACCTCGTTCACCACCAAAATACCATCTAACATTTGCCTTCATGCCAAAAACATCGTTTGAGATTTCAAAATCAGATTATTCATGACATTCCCGATTCTCTTAGCCAAGATCTCAGATAAAACCCAATAAAGACTATCAATTAGGCAAACTGGTTTAGATTGATCGATCTCTTGAGGATTATCAACTTTCGACACAAGAGCGAGAAACGACGTCGTTATTGCCTTTGGCACCCTACCACACTCATGAAACTCATTTAAAAATATGAATAATTCATCTTTAAGAAAACCTCAACAAACTTTAAAGAATCTCAAATTGAACTTGTCAGGACCTGGACTTTTATCTAAAGAGAGTTGCCTAAACAACACATTGTCCAATTTAGGCCGCACATAATTTGTTTCTTCAAACCTACTCTCGAAATGCCTTTAGAGTTATGTTTTCATTTTGTGCACCTGCTCAATTCTACCTCTAGCAGTATTAAGACCCGTAATGTTATTCCTCCTAAGTCTTGTCCTTATAGAATTGTAAAAAACTTCGTATTACAATCACCTTTTTTTTATCCAAAAGCTTCAAGATTTTTTCTTAAAATGTTATCTCTATTGTGCAATTAATTTCACACCTTAGTAGCCTCCCCCTCTGCCTGACAAGATCCCTCCCATTTGAATTATCTTCCCCCTCACCTCCAATGACAACTAGATTATATAACATATTAAGATCATTAATTGAATTAACCACCTCCAAGTTAATAATACCAAAAACATATTTATTCCAATTCCTCCAAACTCCAATCAATAACCTCAACCAATGTTTTAAAAATCGGACTGCTTAACGAACCAGTGAGGTTATTAGTCATTGGTTCATTGGTCGAATCACTAGATCATTGGTCGAACCACATGACTAAACCGGATAAAATCGAATAACTCTGTTGTATAAACCGATCACTATAACAGAATTATATAGGTATTAAATCGGTCGAAAATTATAACAAAATTATATAGGTATTATATAGGTACAAAATTATAACAAAATTATATAGGTATTAAATCGGATAACTCTGTTGAATAAATCGGTCACTATAACACCTAAAAAATTTAAAAATATCATAATTTTACAAGTTTATAATTTAAATTCAAATTTGAATCAATTTTAAATTAAAGTCAAATAATTGATTTAAAAATTTAAAAAAAGTATCAATATCAAATATAAATTTATGTTTGTTATCTATATAATAGGCATTACAATTTACTTTAAGCAACACCTCATCCTAATTAATAAAAACCAATGATATCATTCATATAGGTGAGAAAATAGATTATGTTTAAATTCTACAACCTATCAATGCTATAATACTGCAATAGCCTTTATTTATCATATTTAATCGTTATCACCAATTTTTAAAGAAAAGAATATTAACTTTCTCTTATATATTTTTTTTTAAATAATGAAAAATGACGTTTTAATTTTAAAAAAAATACGCATTTGAACTGCCGGTTTTCTAAAACTGTAGGTTTGCTGATTTTTTTTCGGTTTACACTGATTTTGACCGGTTTTCATCAGTTCAATTGCATATCCGATCCAACAAATGAACCAGACATGTTACCACTCCGGTTCCAGGTCAACCTGTTCGACCAGTTGATCCGATTTTTAAAACTATGGCCTCAACTTCTCATTCAAAACATATGCAACTTTTCCTTTAACTCTACTAGACTCCCAAAACTCTTTAATCAAAGGAACCAAATCATTGTCATCTAACCAACAATTGATGAACTTAAACGATTTGGTACCCCAATTAATTTTGGAACCTTTGATCCAAAGGACATGATCCAAAATGTCCCTAAGTTATCTGCTTCACCATGACATTTTCTTACAGTAGCAACATCTCCCAACTCCATATTCTAGATGAATTCAAAAAATCATTCATCTCCCTCAAGTTATCCGCTTCACCATGACCATTTCTTTCTGATTCTAGTTTGACAACATTGAAATCACCCGCTAAACACCACATTTTACTAGTAAAATTGTTCTTACCGTCCTAGATTTGCTTCCACATGATTCTCTTCTTAGCCAAGGAACAAAATGTGTAAACATCAACTAAGAAAATCACATTAATTCCAATGAAACCTTGAAAGTTTTACCTCATACCTCTACCCTTATACCCACACCCCTACACTCAAAAAATTTGGACCAAAATACCCTTAGTTAAATATCTATAATCTTACATTTTTTCATTTTTCACTTCCATTTCTCACTTTCCATTTTAAGACTTCCGGAACTCTCAAATTTTGTTACAAACCAGAACTCTCACACAAACACTTCCGGAACACATTTCAGTTGCAATACATACCGGAACACTAAGAGTAAGTCTTCCGGTTTGTATTTTGTTTTTTCTTCTTCACCGAAACTCTTTCATTAAGACTTCCGGATCACAAAATTTTGAGGTTGTTCACCGGAACTCTTTTTTGAAGACTTCCGGTTCATAAAAAATTTTAGTTTAGTCACCAGAAGTCTTTCCTAAAGACATCCGGTTCAGTCAATGTTTCGTTTCATCTTCGAAAGTCTTTCTTGAAGACTTCTGGTTCATTGCTTTTTTTTTTTTAATTTTTGTTTTCTAATTATATTTATTTTTATTTTTTAAAATTTTTTTAATTATATTGATTTTTTTCCAGTGGTGCGCACAAGAGGCAGAGATGGTAGGATCCCTCGTGGACTAGGACGGGGCGAGTCATCGAGGATGGCTGAAGAAGAGCATTTTGATGCATCAGCATCAGCATCCGAGCCGGTTGGATATCTCGGAGGACCGTATGATACGTCTCTGTTAGTTAAATACGAACAACATGTTGCATACCGTATATGGTTCGGTGAGGTAAGTAAACGAAAATTATTTAATATTAAATAGAATTCGAATTTTTAATATTGCATTTTATAATATTTTTACTTTTAATCTTTTTCAGGAGAGAGGGTCGAAGAAAGAGTTAAAGGTGGCGGGACATGGGATAAAGTTGACTCAGAGGGTTCCACTACAGTTACCCAGAGAGATGGAGAGCTGGATATCTAGGTCTGGTCTAGCTTCACTTCAGAGAACCAGTTTAACAAAGATAGACACAAACCTAGTTTTCGCTTTTGCAGAGAGGTGGCATCTAGAGACATCTTCATTTCACATGCCGTTTGGTGAGATGACGATAACTCTAGATGACGTATCTTGCCTGCTTCACTTGCCCATCAGGGGAGTCTTCTGGAACCCTCAAGATACCAGTGAAGCGCTTGCTGTTGAGTGGGTTGTTGATTATTTGGGTGTCACAAAGAATAACACAACAACAAGTCCTTGAGTGCAGGGGTTCCTACTATAAGCTGGAGTGATTATATGATTGGTTCGTAGAGCACAGAGATGCATCTCGATGGGATTATGCCACTAGAGATTATTTGCTGATGTTAGTGGTTCCACTATTTTTGCGGACAAGACGTTTACGCTTGTCGAGGCACGATACCTCTCACTGTTTATAGACTTGGATGGCTTATCAGGATACAGTTGGGCAGCAGCTGCGTTGGTTACTCTTTATTGATATCTCGGAGATGCTTCCATGTTCAGCTGCAAGCAGCTTGGTGGTTATCCGGCTCTCCTACAGGTATTTATTTTAATTTAGTATATTTTGTTTTAATTAATTTTATCTAGTATATTAATTTTATTTATCTAGTTTATTATGTTATAATTAATTATTTTAAATTTTGTAGCAGTGCTGGATTCATGAGTATTTTCCTACACTTGGAAAAAGAGGAGAGAACTGGATACCAGCTAATAATGTGGGTCTCCCACGAGCGATGAGATGGTCCTATAGGCAATGTGCCTTGAAGGTGGATGACTTGCGGCCTATTCTGGACGAGCTGACACTTGCTGATGTCATATGGCGCCCATTCGAGAATCATAGAACATGGCGTCAGTTTCATGAGTTATGTCTCTATAGGGGGTGTCTGAGGTGGGGTGACATTATTGTTCCATACATGCCTGACAGATGTTTGCGTCAGTTTGGATACAAGCAGTATATTCCACATCCACCTCTTGATTCTCGAATGGCGGGTGATATTGATGTTGACTGGATTAGTTACCATCAGAGCGTTCAGAATGTGATTCGTCCGACAACACCGGCCACCACCCCACCTAAGAGTACAACGACATATTTCTTTGTTAGTTCCAACATAATCAACTCGTTTTAACTCTTCAGCAATGCGTCTCAATGCTTCTCGAGACACTGAACCACGTAAATTATTGTAAAATGGACTTACGTGGGCGTGCTCAACTTCATAAAAACTCTTTTGAAAAGAAACTCTAATATTACTTAATTGTAACTTTAAGTTGTCATTCATAGTCTCCCAACATTTGACTATGTCACCAATACTGTTCCCCAACATTTGCTTTAACTTCCAATGAGCAGACTCAACCCTAAAATTAATACATATTTAAAATATTTTAAAAAAATTCAAAAAAAAAATACAATTTAGAAATATTAAAAATAAATACATACCGATTAGTCGTAGTGTTACCTAAATGTAGCACTCGATCAATCCATGCTCCAACAAATCTTTGTCTATGTGGCGTCAACCATGTATCCTTCACATAATTAATAAATTAATTACAATCAACACACGCCTGCTCAAGTTGGTTCAACCTTTGATCATACTCAACCTCATCACTAGCCCATACAACATCCGTCCATAATTCGTCAATTTTCTTTTGCATGTCACTAGCCACATATTGTTTCCGTTTTGCACCAACATTCTTGTTAATATGAAATCGACATAGCATATTGATCGACCTTGGAAACACAATTTCAATGGCTTTCATCAAAGCAATATCTCTATCTGTCAAAATCGCTTGTGGACACAACTCTTTCTTCACAAACAATTGTTTAAGCTTATCTAGCACCCAACAAAAAGTCTCAGTTTGCTCAGACTCAATATAGGAAAATGCGACAGCAAAAGTCAACTCGGTTGATGTCATGCCAACTATTTCAAACAGAGGTTGCCTATATTTGTTTGTCTTGTAAGTGCTGTCCATAACTAGCACAATTGGAAAAATATTCAACAACTTAACTGAATCTGGATGAGCCCAAAAGATATATCTAATTACTTCAGAGTCATCTCTTTTTCTACTCCAATAAACATAACCTGGTTCCTCAATAAGCTTAAACAAATGTCGTATCTCACTTCTAGGACCTCTTATATTTTTTTTCTATCATACTCTTCTGTTTGTATATTTGTGTGATTCGAGTGACATTATCCGGATCTTGCTCTTGCAATGAAAGCAATATATGTCTAGGTGGAACCTTTCTCTTTGTCAAATCAACAACATGTTGCTTCTGATTTGCTGTCAACCTACCGACAAATGTGTGACCTTCTAATCTATCAGGTAAACCATGGTTATGAACTCCACATTTTACATCAATCTTCCATCCAGATCCATCAGCCGCTGGAATTGATCTGATTCTAAATGGACATTCACATTTTTTCGTCGCACTCTGGATTCCACTATCAATATCTCTGTGTTTTCCTTCTTTATCACATCCAAATATTAATTTGTTACTTCTTCCTCTCTTGTCTGTTTTAATATCTGAACGAGTGATGATAACCGTAACTTTATTTCGGATTTCGATCTCTTTAATCCATCTTATTACCTCTTCTCGTGTACCAAATCTTTGAGTTGTTGAAAAAACATCAGACGTATCTACGCATATCTGATCTTTATTGCATATTTGTAAAGGAATGTTTGAAACCTCTTCTCGTGTACCAAATCTCTGAGTTGTTGAAAAAACATCAGACGTATCTACGAATATCTGATATGTATCGCATATTTGTAAAGGAATTTCTGAAATAATTACATAAAAAAAATTCAAAATTTCAAAAAAAATAAAATTGGACAAATCAAACCGGAACACTTGTAGAAAATGTTCCGGTAGCTAAAAAACAAACCGGAAGACTTGTAGCAAGTGTTCCGGTAGCTAAAAAACAAACCGGAAGACTTTTTACAAGTCTTCCGGTGAACATTCACGAAAATTACCAAATCGGAAGTCTTTCCTGAAGTCTTCCGGTACAATATTTTTGTGAACCGAAACTCTTTGTCCAAGTGTTCCGATAGATCGTGGGATAAATTTCTCGGAAGACTGAAAAATATAAAAAGTGAAAAAAAATAATAAAATATTAAAATATATAAGGATAAAATGAGTATTTTTTTTTAAAATGTAGGGGTATGGGTATAAGTGCAGGGGTATTGGGTAAAATTTCCTGAAACCTTCTCCAATAAAACTGAACACATGCTCGAATAAATATCATATTAATAATAGGTGGTGGACCTTATTAATAAATAAGTGGTGCAGTGTTACGTAAATAAAAATAATAAAGGTAAGATTGTAGAAACAAATAATAAATATTATAGAGAGGACATCTATAAGACGAAGAATAGTGATCTAGAATGGATAAAAGTAATAAATGGATTTAATTACATTTTTAATTTCTCTTTATTTTAAATTAAATATTTTTTGGTTTTTCTATTTTAAGCTTAAACAATTTTGATTATTTTTATAATTGCATTTAAAATTATCAATATTTATATTTTTTAAATAGTAATTTATTTGTAAAATATAATAAATCATCATATCTATTAGTATGTTATTAGTTTTGTAGATAAAAATATAGATGAAAAAATAAAAAAATCTAAAATTTTTTATGAAATAAAAAATATAAGAGATGAATTAAAACTGTTTAAATTTAAAATAAAATCATAAAATAAAAATGAAAGACTAAATCAGTAATTTAACCGACTAAATAATAGAGAATATATTTAAAAAAATTAATGTTAAATCAAAATGGTAAAGCGATTTATAATTTGAAATTAAAGCATGTTATAATTGTAATAGTATTTGTTGAGTTGTGTACAAAATATCAGTACAAAATATTGATATATTGATTAATTGATGTATATGATAATTATTTTCCATTATTATTATCATTGAGTTGTGTACAAAATATCAGTATAAAAGTATATTAAAGAAAACTGTATTAATAATAGAAATTGAGTCCAAAAAATTATAAAATGTTATTATGATAAAACTATAAAATATAGTATTGCCATTATAGAATAGAAAATAGACATTAAAATAGAAAAATTAAAATTTTTTACCACAATAGCCAATATTTGTGACACTATGTGCCATATTATCCAACAATTCAAAATATTATCCAATCTATCCAAGTTTCAAACTTTTTTTTTAAAGAGGGGGCGTCATCTAGGATGGAGGCACCCTTATAATTTTAATGGGGGCGCCGTCCCCTTTGGAGCCCCCTTATTTCGTTTAATTAATTTAATTCAAACATAAAAAATGTTTATAATATTTAATATTATTTTATACCAATTTTTTTTTTGTATAAATAGTTAGTCTTGTTTCATCCAAATTAACATTGTTTCATGCAATCTTAGGAGAGTGAATCATGTATCTTAGAAGATATGGGCATGCCATTTTCTCAAGAACTAAGCCTCCGATAAGGATGTTGTTTTGGAACATTCAAAATTTAGAGCAACTACGACAAAATTTGAATCGCTGGTTAGAAGGAGACATTCCAAATGGTGAAAGCATTAGAAGTATTGAAAGACTTGTTTCATACTTCTCTATTGCAGACGAAAATATACGGCGGGAGTGGGTGCGAATTAAAGATGACAACAAAGTTAGGTCTATGATGTTCGGAACTGATGATATTACTTTGATTGTTGTTATATCTTAGTTTATGTTGTAATGATTGTTATATTTTTAATGTTTTGCGTTGTTGCTCTAGACGTATTTCAATTTGTTTTTGTGGTAATGAAAAGTTGTTATGAATATTAAATTCCAAGGTTACACATTTTTTTAATGACCAATGTAAATCTATTTAGAACTTGTTCCAACATTTGGACAATTATTCTTCGTATGCACGGGAAGACGACATATTCCGCACAATCTTTCCATTTTCTCAGTTGTATCCATTTCAGTTGTAATTCACGTGCTTTTGGGGCAGCCCTTTTTGTTTCTTCTCGTATTTTCGTTGTGGTAGATTGTGTCTCCATGATAGGTTGGCCAATAGTCCTCACTATCTACCACTTGAAAATTGTTATTGTAGATACCGAATAAGTTCACGACCTTATAAACTTCTGATAGTTGCAAGAATGGATCGTGACGAGCACTGGAACATGCGGAAGGCATGCAGAAGGTTTGAAACTTTCCGCAGTCGCACCAATTTTTATGAATTTCCACCCTGTAGTGTCCCATTGGCCGACCCTCATTGTGATCCATTGTCTCGTCAACAATGAAGCTGTAATCGTGACGATCAAATGGTCTAACTCGATGTGAGGCCACCTTAGAAGTTTCATCCTTCATATATTTCATACATGATTCGCTGAATATTTGCCCTGATTCCAAAACAATGCTCCATTTTTTACCTCTTGCCGCAAAAAGTGACCCCAATCTGTAATAGGTTGCTCTTACCAACGCAATGATGTGGAGGTTCCTAGTTCCCTTAAATACGCCGTTTAGGGATTCTACAAGATTTGTGGTCACGTGACCCCATCTGCATCCTCCATCAAAAGCCCTTGTCCATTTCTCGACTAGAATGCTATCCACCCAGCTTAATGCTTTCGCGCTTGACAATCTTATTTCTTCGCGGTAATACATGAACGATGGTTGGTTTAAAGCATACCCAACGTTCACAACTTTTTTACGGAGATTTCTGTCTTTTATTTCCCGCATAAAATTCTGAGCAATGTGTCTTATGCAGTAGACATGGATAGAAGGAGGATTATGCCAACCATTAGCAGGATTGTTGTAGGCGCTCACAATTGAGGCATGTCTGTCGAAAATCAGACATAAGTTAGGTTGAGGAGCGACATGTGTTCTGAGATTTTTGAGGAAGAAACTCCAAGCTTCACCTGTCTCACCCTCGACCAGAGCAAAGGCAATCAAATATATATTATTATTTCCGTCTTGTGCAACCGCCATCAACAATATTCCTTTGTATTTTCCATACAACCATGTTCCATCGACTTGAATAACCGGTTTGCAAAATGCAAAACCTTTGATACACTATTGAAATTCCCAAAAGTGACGAGAGAATATCCTACTTCCATCAAACACATGTTCCTTCAGGAGTGTATGCTGGAAGTGACTCCAATATTACAACCGTACCAGAAACAT